TTACACTTATGCATAAATAACACATAATATTTCATATATATATTTTATATTTTCAGAATTTTAAATATATATAAAGCATGTAATCATAAAGTATATGGTTTTATGATATAATTAGATATTAAAATCATATAAATAAATATTTCAAAACAAATGTTTTATTTTATATATTATTAAATTATTGTATATTCCGTTCTTAGTGTTATTATAGTCCTCCGGAAAAATCGCCTGGTTTGTTGTTTTAATATTTTTGGATGCCACTTTTGATTTATTTGTATGGAGTCGGGTTGCTTTATATATTTATAATATATATATTTGGATTTTTCGACATTGTTAGTATATTCTCTCAATATAATTTTCTATCTATAAATTTATGTATAAAAATTTATTTCTGTATAATATATAAATACTTTAGGGAAAAACTTACTTTTATATAGTCCTCCGGAAAATCGCCTGGTTTATATTGAACCCTAGTTTTAATAGATTTAAATGGATTGACATTGTATTTTTTCACTGCGTGATTTGAGTTATTATAGTTATTTTTACACTATTTTTAGACGGTAGTAAGTTTCAAAGTAGTCCCATTTTAATAGGTTTGTTTTGTTGATTGGTTAAAACTTAATTTTAGCTAGTTGTTCTCTGAGGTTATTTTGGTGTTGGGTTTTTTCATATTTTTATATATATTTGTAATTACATTTATATTTATAAATGTATTTGTATTTATATTTATGGTTATATACAAATTTATAGTTAATAATCGCAGTTTAGTAAGTGTTCGCCAAGTTTCTCCACTACCATAGCGACCTGCTGGGGTTGGATGGGATCATTGTATGTAGAAACGATGACTGCTTGTTTTGTCTTCATGCAGTGTACTCCATCTTTTCCTAATCTGGCACGGACAATGCTATCACTACCTGATATGTATATAAAGCGCTGTCCGGCCAGATTAACACCATTATTGACGAGCACGTTCATATTTTCGAAACCAGAAATCAGCATTGACAGTTCATCCTTTGTGACTGCAAAGTCTTTTGACTGAGCCCAAACATTCCCATCCAACCCCGCGATGCAAGCTTTATCTATACATTTCGAAGACAAAAGGTGATTGTCCATATACTCTTGCCAGCTCATGTTGATGTTAGCGTTAAACCCAATGTTTTGAATTAAAGAAATAATTATTGTTAATTTCTTTAATTTAGATACTCCGTTCAATGCGTGAACTTTTAAAACAGCAATAATTTTTTTCGAAATCAATTTAAATATATTAAAAATATTTGATTATGACATTTTTATTCACTATTTTTATTTAGAGTGGTTTGCTTAGTCAAGTAAAATAATTAAAATCCAGAGTTGTTAGCATAATAGAGTTAATTGTCATTTGTGAATTATTACACAGGGTTGCTATTAACTAAAGACAAATAATAACATATTTACATTACAAACTTCGCTGGTGGAAATCGTCTTTGAGCTTAAAACCAGTTACCAAAGCTGACTTTGTCATATAAATATACGTTTGATATTTGTAAATCAACTTCAACAAGGTTACTTTACTAAAGTTTGCAATGTAAATATGATATATATGAGGGCCAATTTGAGAGTTGTAGCTTAATCCTCATAACTGACTTCAGTATGAATTAAATCAGCAATATAAATGACTTAGGCATTAATTAAGCCAGTTTTGAGGTTTAAATCACGATTATGAAATTGACTATATATGATATTAGACAATTAAACAGGGACACCATAGGTTGTCTATAATTAATCTTTTATAATTAATAGAAATTTAAGTACTGTTAATATGTAATATGCGCTGCGGTATTCGAAAGATTTGTATGATTGAGGCAAGCTGCTAGCACCCAAAAGAATTTCTAAAATTTTTATATCTATAGAATAATACGCAAGGCCTTTTTTTTTTGTAAGCATAATACAAAAGAACACCTGCTTATTTTAAAAATAACATGTGAAACAACAATACTGCTGGCTTTTATATATCTTATTGTACACAACACAACTAGTTAAACACATATGTGAAAAAAAAGAACTTAACATATTTTAAAAGTGAGTTCAATTCTTTTTTCTCAGACTTAATGCTGTTCTTTTACAACTCTGAAAGAAAAAATTACGGCTAATGTCAGAGTTTTCGCCTGTTAGGCGTAAATAGGTGTATTTTTGTGTGGATATGCAAACATATTAATACAGAAATAATTATCTTTTAAATTAGAATATACAAAGAACATACTAAAGTAGTAGTAAACGTATGTATGCTATGGTATCACTTTGTCTATAACATACCTTTTGGTCATAACCAAAAAAAGACATAAAATGCTGTGACTATTTGGTATATTGAAGTTTGTATAACATGGTCGTAGTCATTAAGGATACGCAGATGTTATGCTATGTTGAGATTTTTGGATTTAACCCGAAAAATATTCCACAATATGTTCCATTTTTCATACAAAATTCATACAAAATTCTTACAAAATTCTTATAAAAAGGTTTTGATAATGTTAAGTGTATCTATAATACTAATCTCCTTTAAATAAAAACAAATTGAGTGATTTAATTAGATATTATTTAGATAAATTTAGCATACAGTATATTTGCTGATTGGTTACTGCTGGTTAGTAAACCTTGATAGGGATTTAAATCCCTATCATTTTCCTTTCTCTTGTCGAAGCTGTAAGTAAACAAAGTAAGTATTTCACATTTGCTTAATCATTATCCAACTCTATATTGGAATGTCTTAAGAACTAAGTGACCAAATAGATATTTGTATAAATTTTGTTCTTTAAATTACTGAATTAGGTCCCAGTGCTAAATAATTTTGGAATTTATGCATATTCATTAGCCCTTCACTGTTTCATCTTTAGATTCGCCCTTGTAAAATCAATTAAATTCTGAATTTTTAAATGTTTGTTTTGCTGTGATGGACTATTAAATCTCTTCTTTAAATATTTGAAAATAGTTAAATAACTACATGGTTTAACCATAAAATATTAAATACTTAAAAATATATGGGTAATATTTGTACAGATCAAGCTGAAGAAATCTTTTTGCTTTTGCTATGCATTTATAATTTTATTCGCTTAATAAAAATTTTATCGGCGAAAAATTGCTGCCAACTATGTTTTATGTGCACCGTTAATGCAGCGCTCTCCCCACCGACCGCAAACTGCAATTTAATTGCTGATGCATTATCACATTGCACTATCGCGAATATAGAAAGTTGCACGTTAAATGCTCAGGTTATGAGCGCTGAATCAGATATGCCATAAATTATGTTAAACAATTTCATTTACGAGACCCGCCGCCAGTCCAGAATGCAATTTAATGTTGAAAAAAATGAAGTAATTAATTTTGTGTGTGCGGTTCTAGGTGTGTATTGGTTGAAAGTAGATACATTTGTATCTGCGAATGCACGTTGGATCGACTGATCAAGAAATAATAAATGTTGTGAAAAATCATGTTTCCAACTTGTTTTCAGTTGAGAAATTAGCAACGTCAAGAGGTGCAAAATGACAGTTTGCATGTCTAAACAAGGAAGTAAATTATTAGAGATAAAAATTAAACATCTTTTTTAATTAAACGCACGTAAGACTGCCAATTTTTCACTTATTTTATTTAGTTCCATTTAATTTTATTTATGTTATTTTATTTTTTTATATCTATTTTTATTTTAAGAATTTTCCCACACTTTCTTATGCGTATTTTACCGCCTGAATGCACGCACTTTAGTTACTGATTTTATGCCCACTAAAGCAGCTTCTTTATTTGTTGCTTGATTTGCGTGGGTCCATGTAGAAGCTTCAGATGAAGTCTGACTTGGTACTTGTCTTCTCTTCCGGCTTATGTGATTTAAAGCCAAGAATGGAGCTCAATTTAACGTATCACTGGTGCGTGAAATCATGACTTGAGCTGGCATAATGTCTTCCCTTCACTTCGTGTGTTAGAGAATTTGTTCTGTTTAGCTTATTAGACAAAGGAATTAGCTGAATTGGAATAAGAAGATTCCAACTGAAGATAATGCATTTTCCACACTTAGATTTGTTGAAAAAAAATTAATTATTTGCAAAAATTATTTTTAAAAATATTTTTGCAAATTTATTTGCAATTATACATTCCATTTATTTATGAAATTTGTGGAAAAATGTTTATAAGCAATAAATTTTAAATATATGGCAAAAATGCTAACTGTTAAATGACCATGGATTTATTTTGTAAAAGAAAACTAATTGTATTTGGTTTTTAAATTACTAGAAATAATTTAAAACAAATATCTAAATGAAATATGCAAAAGAATGTTAATATTATTACGGACAGAAAATGGGGCCACCTATAAAAAATTATTAGATACACAAATAGTTCACGTATTGAATATTCTGAAGAGTAGTAATTCAAACTAATTAGTTTTTCAAATAAAAGAATATAGAATATAGTTAGTTTGTTTTTTATTATTAATTTAAATACATTCCAGACTAATATAAAATTAAGGAACATAATTGAATAAGCTATGTACGACATGGCTTCGGTCATTTGTCGAACTGAAAATGGTATAGATTAATGAAATAAAGAATATATTTAGTTGTATTAAAAATTAAAATAATAAATTTTTCACTTTTGTATGGAGCTGGAAATAATCACAAACAATGTCGAACTGCTTCAAAGCTTTGACCTCTTTGGTGTGGTGCTGACAAACCACAAGTATTTTGTTTGAATACAAAACTAAATACGAAATTATAATTCAGAATCAGGCAATCATCTAATACCGAGAATATTATGACCCTAAAATATAATGGCTTAGTCACATTATATGAGGGGCTGCAGAAGGCATCATTAAAAAAATCTTTATTACTACGCTCAAGGCAGCTGTGGATCGGGGCTGCAACGCAACACAGGCAAGAGTCAAATCGAAGTAGAACTGAGATTTTAGGGGATAAGCTAAGATGTAGTTAAATAAAGTGGAGTTCAATAGAGTTTAATATATTGCCTTGTAGAAATACTCTAGAGTTCAAGCAGCTCGAAAAATATTTGAAGGTCTAGTTTTTACTGCAATGTCTTAACTAAGCCTGATGAAGAGCCAAGTGTTTATAGTTAATTTTTTTTTAGTTAGTGTCACGATTTTTGTTAAGAGTACAGTATTGAAATAGTTGTATAAACTATAGAACTATAGAACATTGTATCATTGATCTTTATCAATCTTTTCATTTTATATTAAATTTTTCAAATAAAATTTCTAGTTTCTTTGTTAATACGTCTCTGGACCGGCATAGTAATTCATCATAATTCCTTAGTTGAAATGTTAAAATTTCGTGGAATATCGAAGTTGTCATTTGGCATTGACAATGTTCCGAAGAATTTTATTAGATTATATTGATAGGAGCATTGCAACATAAAAAAATATTCACAATAGGCCTACGATGTAACGTAGGATATTTGGAATTTATGGCATAATTATTTTTTTTTTTATTAAGAACAAATTATTTATAGCTGAAAACTGTAACCACTGTAGTCGAATATTAAAATATGCAGAAGGTTAACAAAAACTTTTTAATAGATGTTATAGTTTATATTAATATAATATATCAATTTAGATATTATTGTTTATAAGTTTGTTTAGTAAGTTTGTGTAAGAAAATTTTTTACTAATAATAGAACAAAGACTTTTGTGTGAGATTAATATCTCTTCTTTCATCAGAACTTGCAGAATTTAAATTTCGACTGTTAGTTTATTCTATTTTAGAATCCCTTCAAAGGTAATATAACAGTATTATATTTTTTTAAGAAAATTGATCAATGAGCATTAATACCATCACCTTTATCTCTCTAGATAGAGCTTGATTTTCAATAAGTGGTTTTTTGGATGGCGATCCGTTTTTGAAGCTTTCTTTTAAAAACTGTTGGCTTGTTTGCATATTAGATAGTACACTCATTATTCGTCGCGAGTTATGTTGAATTCCATAAAGATAGGATCGGTTGAAGCTCGCGAAGTTATGTCTTCACCAATATGAAATGCAAGAATGCACCTGCAGCGACTGTACTCTTATCCGAATGATGAAGCTAACGAACTGGCTTCAATAGAGCCAACACGTTGCCTTAGGCGCCTAAAACCTTGTGACCTTTGGTCGCAACCGGTCCGAAATGCGTGATAAATAAACTTTGCGTGATTCCTGCTTAAATTCTTCATAATTGCAGATTAAAGTTGTTGTTAGTATTATTATTATTGTTAGCTAGTTATTTCAATAAAATTT